TCACGTATAGGTAGGCCTCTCGTGCATCTTTCTTGTGGCGTTATCACCTCCACATTTTATTGGAGGTGTGTGACTACTTACTCACTGAGTTATAAGCCGTCACGTGTACATTATGTCTTGCATGTGCTAATACAATTATCATTACAGTATGCCTGGTATTGTGCCATGGAGGCCAGCTTTGACTTCAGCATTGTAAGTATTAAGGAAATAAGTCACATTAAAATGCTATAACAAACTTAATGAAAATGGATGCTCTTTCTTTAGCATGACATGTCTCTCCTGAGAAGGTGGTGGTGTGTTATCCTGGTGGAAAACTTTGGACTGGAAGGGTATGCTGCAGTGCTACAAAAACATTTGAATTTGTAACTGTATTATCAAGAAGATTTGGGGGTGATTTGGGGGCTCCAAAATTCAACCTTCTGGTGAAGAAAATGTGTCTTAATTGCAGGTATGGAAAGAAGTTTGCTCACTATAGTGAGGAAGGCAGGGCGACCCTTAGCGACAATGTCCCACCTACATTCAGGATCAGTCGTAAAAGGACGCATGCAAGCAGCACCATGGTCAGTGTATCGCTCAACGTATCTATGACCCTGTGTGCCTGTTTCAGAATGGGTTACTACTCCTAAAACACATACTACATAGAACTTATGGTACATGCAACATTTGTTTTGTGTGGTACTGTGTCATTCTGAATTGAGCCTGGATCATTTTTGGAGGAGTTAAACCGTGCATGTAAAGCACTGTCAAAATAATGGTTGACTGTCTACAGATGCCCCTGGACACTGATGAGGACCACTCCTATAACAAGAGGCCTTACAGCTTCCTTCCTAAAGAGTCGGTTAGTGAATGGACACATTAAAGTGTACAACCCCTGATGCATGTGATTTTATAATATTACATATGACTTCTTTATACCATCTTGTCTTATCAGTGAGATGGAACTTTGTTCTCATGACCTCGCCAAGAACATGAGTGAGGAAGCGCACCAAAGGCTGAAGGACTTGTGAAAGATTCCGAGGAGTTTTTTTTCAATATGTTTTTGATGTTTATGATGTTCTGTTCAATAAATGTTCATTGAGGAAAACGGTATCAGTGTCTTATTTTATATACATCACAGTGAATGCTGAACTTTCCGGACCATATACTGTAGTTGAAAGTACACAATGAAACACTGGCTTGCTTGTATCAAATCAATACAATTCCCACATGCCCTACCCCGGAACCTGCGGTCTTCAGACTCTGGCCCCCCGCACCAACCTGCGATCCTTCGGGGACAGAACCTTCAGTATGGCAGCCCCCACTCTCTAGAACGCTCTCCCTGCGGAGATCTGCAACATCCCCACGCTTGACGCCTTCAAAAGGGCCCTCAAGTCCCATCTGTCTGCCAAGGCCTTTGCCCCAAATCTATTTGTTGTTTTGTTCTTCTTTTTAAAGCGACCTTGGGTCTCATGAAAGGCGCTATATATATCTTATTATTAATACATCATTGGAACGGTACCTCCAGTATTCCTACATGACAAGCATTGTTATAATATACAGTAAACATATTATTATAAAAAAAATTAGAAAACGTCATTCTGGCTTTCACCTTTCAAATTAGATGTCAACCATCAAAATGGTATAAGGGGTTCCAAGGGGTTCTCAAACGGATAGGTTATTAATGTATTTGCCTAATAGTTGCTTAAAATGCTACAATAACATGCCATGTACGATCTATCAGCCACCGTAGAGGGCGTGTCGTCAATTCGCTTTTCATGCCTCTCAGCCACCGTCGTGTCAGGTGGGCGTGTCGTGTACTGTCCGCGGCCGCAGCTTGACCATATTGGACTTCAGGCGAGCTTTTTGAGACCTCCCCCGGCTGCGAAAGTATGGGATTAGTTTTGTATCATAAAGATAAAACAACACTTTCTCAGAATAAAGCAAAACTATGAGTTTAAAAGAAGAAAAAAAACGAAGTCAAGCAAAATAAAATAAATTTCAAAAATAAAACTATAAGTTGCAAACAAATCATTTGTGTAATCATGTAAATTATTTTTTCTTTGTTTTAACAAAGGTTTTTGTTTGCAGTTCTTGTTTCTTCTTTCTCAATGATCAGACTTTTGCTCTCACTGCAGCTTTCTCTTTTGCGCTCCCTCATTTTTTGTTTGAGATTTTGACACAAACATCCCAGGTGGGCGGGACTTTCAGGGGTGTGTCCCCATTGGCTACTCAGTTTTTGAGTGACAGCCCACTACACCACATATCATACAGTGCAACTCATGCAGCAAACTCCGGAGTCCACTCGGCCACGTTAGTGTCGGTGTCTCCTGAGGAGTTTTCATGAACATATCGGACTTATCTTATGGATTGCTGTGCATTATACTTGTGTTGTGTAGTTTATACTTTATTCCAACTTTAAATATTTTAATACCTGAACACACTGCTGCTATTAAATAATTTCCCAATTTGGGATTGATAAAGTGTCTGTCTATTAATTGTATAGATTAAAAAAACACATCTATGTATTTTCAAGCTAAAGGTGATACACAATATAAACTGTATACTGTTATTTTTCAAAGACATGTTACATTTCAAAAGCATATATTGCTATGTTTAGGACACACAATTAAAAACTGCTTTAATTTAACAAATTCTACAATATAAAAGTGGCAGATTTGCTTTATGAAACAGACCAGACCTAGTATACCAACACAATTAGGAACATACTCACATCTTACTATGTTGGTCTGAAGAGCTGAAGCATTATACACAATGGATAAAAACGGTGTTGTTTCATTCTATATCCTGTGAGAAAATTATATAGCCTACATTTAGCATTAAAAACTCAACATACTATTCCTAGCCTGAGGAAGATATGAATAATCAACAGATTTGAATGGAATCTCTAACATTTTCATGTAGAATAAAGACAAAAGAGTGATTATACAAATTACATTTATTGAAATTTGAACCAGAAGAAGTCTCAAAGAATGTTTTAAATAAAAGGACATAAAACAAAAAGGTGGATAATAATAAAATCTATTAAATGTATATGTAAAGACATGTGGTCAAATGAAATGACACTGAGCAAGTGATAACAGTAACGCCAGCGTGGATGAAGCTGGTGCAGGTCTCTCTTCATGCCCCCCCTCCGTGCTGTCCCCTCAGAGGAAGTGGGAAAACGGGATAAGACTCTGGACGCCACGCTGTCTCAATGATCCATACTGTTAATATGAGAGGAAAATAAATGTTTTAGGAAATGAAAAATATGAAGTTAACAAATAAAACACAGCTCAGGGGCATCATGGACGGTAGGTTTTCCTACAAAGTTAACTCAGCCTCCATTGATTTTCATATCAAATTAGCGTGTTAATAAAATAAGCTATCATGGCTTATACTTGCATATCTAAACAGAATCATGAAAGCCTGTTGGTAGAGTCAGGCGCAGAGTGTGTGCGCAGGTGTCTGAACGCTCACTCACTGCTAGCTATGTAGCTAACTGTTAGGATACTTAGCTTGCATTGTTATGGATCTAAAGGTAGCAAAAGCTAACTTTCATAGCACAGCTTTACTTCTCACTTACCACAATAAAGAAACAGACCGTATAGTACAGCACAAACAACACTTGTAGTATTATAATAATTGAAATGCTGGTTCTTCTGGGGTGTTCTATCCACGCTCAGCTACCGCACCGCAGCTGCCTGCACTGTACAATCGCTGGAGGACTGGGCTGTCACTCAAAAACTGAGTAGCCAATGGGGACGCACCCCTGAAAGTCCCGCCCATCTGGGAGGTTTGTGTCAGAATCTCAAACAAAAAATGAGGGAGCGCAAAAGAGAGAGCTGCAGCGAGAGCAAACGTCTGATCATTGAGAAAGAAGAAACAAGAACTGCAAACAAAAACCTATGTTAAAACAAAGAATGATTACACAAATGATTTGTTTGCAACTTATAGTTTTATTTTTGAAATGTATTTTATTTTGCTTGACTCAGTTTTTCTTATTCTTTTAAACTCATAGTTTTGCTTTATTCTGAGAAAGTGTTGCTTTATCTTTATGATACAAAACTAATCCCATACATCCGGCTATTCTCGTCTACTTTCGAGGTGAGCCGCAACGCGTCTCAAACAAGCCTAGTGTTTTTGTTTCTGTTTCCTAGTGATTTTATTTTTTGTTTTGAGAAGTAGAAAATGAAAATCATCCCGTTTTTTTAAGTTTAGTAAATCCCTTTTTTACCATGATAAAGAAAAACGCCTTGTATTTCAATTTTAAAACGAAAATTAAATATCCACTCGTTTTTTGTTTTTGAATAACCATTTGTGAAAAGAAAATCCAATGACCAAAACATACACTGACCATATAAGGACAGAGAGAGATAGAGAGGAGGTGGGGGAAAGACTGTGGTTGTCAGTAAGAGGAAATGAGACAGAAAGCTGCTCACTCATCTCACATACAGCTCAGTGAACGCTGTCAGTGTATTACTACTACTATTTCATGTCGTATATCTGCTACCTCTAAATCGACAGGAAGCAGGCTAACAGAAACTGCGGGTATCTGTCTCCTCAGGTGTGTTCAGCCTCTATGCCAGGGTTTCTCAAACGTTTTCATACCAAGGACCACTTAACCAATAAAAAAACACTCGTGGACCACCTAACTCCACAAATATAAAAAAACACATCGTTTTTCTAGAACAGATTACAAATCGCCTGAAAATGGTACAAACAAGTGGCAACATATGTGATGAAGGTGTTGCGCTGGGCTCTATCATGCAATTGAAAGTGAAACTTAACCTTGCTCCATTGCGGAGATATTCCCGCGAGAGTGCGGAAAACTTAAATGTATTTATTTATTTAAAATGTAACATTTTACCAATATACTCACGGACCACTAGGGGGCGCTCACGGACCACCAGTGGTCCGCGGACCACACTTTGAGAAGCACTGCGTCTATGCCCATATCAGGAACCTGCGCTGTGCGCACCTGTGAGCTGACGTCACACGCTGAAAGTACCTGCAGCAACTCGCCCAGCTGCACTCAGTCAGTAACTTCTTTCAGGAGAGGAGACAAAGAAGACACGACGCAAACTCGTCAAGGAATATATTTATTATTCATTACATTGCGAGGAATACTGAAAGTGGAGTACAGGCAGATGGGGACCGCTCAGTTCGCGGTTTTGGGAATTGTAATCGTCGTTTTTCAGGTGAGATTTCCGGCTGTAACTTTATTTAAACTCTTCTACTGCTTCTGCTAATTTCTGTCGATAAATGTACTTGGTACATTTTCTTACCATAGAATACTGATAGGACACTATTCGTAGCCTATGTGTTAAGAACAGTTCGTGTCTTTGGAAATTGTAACGTTAAGTTATTTCGTTTTTTATTCCAGTAAATTATTTAGTATTTGTCACACCACTTGCCGCAGTTCTGCACTGTATTTGACTCAAAGGAGCCAGGTTGTTGGGGGGAGGTAATGGCGAAATTCAATTTAAATTGGTGCTGATTCGACGATTTAACAATGCTGCGAAACATCTTGTGTAATTTAAAAGCAATATGTAGAGGAGTCTGTCCAGACCCGGCGCCAGAACAAATCTAAAAGGAGGGCATATGATTTTCATGGGAGGGCACACAAAACCGTCATGAGCTGCGGGCCTGCGGCACAATATATATCAAACAGCAAGGCCAACAGCATTGCGTAAAGACGCACACTTATCGTAAATACATACACAAATAAAGGGCAACATAGAAACCACTTTTGAAACATTGTGTGCGTGGCAGCACACACACTGGTAAATCACGAGCAAGGCACACTGGTTACGGATGGCAGCTTCCTCATCGCTGCAATCGGAGAGAAATAGACGGAGACGATGAACTGTTTAACCCGCCTTGGGCATGGTTTATTTTCCTATGCACTGCAGGTGCATCCTTTCGCTCAGCCGAGCTAACTTAGAACATTATTTTTGGCTAACTCTGCATCTTTGTGCAGCGTATACTCAAACAGTGATAGGAAGAGCCCACTGCCTGACTCGGACATGCTGTGGAGTGAATCGAGTCACCTCTGAGAGGGAGTTGGTTGACGGCTAACAAATCTATAATATCAACAACAGCTGACACGTAATGACGGTTCCGTGCCAGCTGATCTGTGCACACCAAAGTTCTAATTTCCTTATTTGTTTCCTCGCGTATCTGTCTCTCTCTCTCCACAAACTCTCACATGAAATGTGTTCTTTTGATGCGGCATGCCTTAGCAGTCCTGTATCAGTCTGTAATGCGTGTTTCCAGTCGCAAAAACCTTTGACAGTAAAAGCCACATCAGATGAAGACGTATTTACTTTAAAGTGTTTACAGGGGAAACAAAAGGCTGCGTCTGCTTTTAACGAATCTTCAAGCCGGCCTGTTGTTGTACCATGCAGCGGCAAAAGTGCGCTTCTTTCCTGAAAACAATCTCCCTGATAACGATCCAGTTTCACCTGGTTGGGTTTATTAACCCCAAGATCATCTGGGGCTGTTGGTCTTTGAGCGGTTGCTTTTCAGCCAATTTCTGATGTCCATTTTGTAATTCAAACAGAAATGGGAGTCTACAGAATGCACAATAAACAAACAAATCCAGAAGGCGGCAGAGTGTGACGCTGTGATTGGTCTAAATGTGGACGAATCACAAATCACAACAGACACATGAATTTATTTGACATAGCCTGCGATGTTTTGTTTTAGTTACTATATGACATCAGATACATCGTAGCATAAAAGTTCTCATTTTATTTATAATTTAAAAAATAAAAACATTTTCAAATTTTTTTTAAATAAATAATTAAAAACGTGTTTATTGGGGGAGGGCAGGAATGTCAAATGGGAGGGCCTGGCCCTCCCTGGCCCTCCCACGGCGCCGGGCATGAGTCTGTCAACCCATTGGGCACAAGCAGCACCAAATCGCCATTTTCGGAGTTGACTCTCACTCTTCCTCCCTGGAGCATTGATGTATAACAGGGGTGCCCAACCTTTTTTGAACCGAGAGCTACTTTTAAAGTTGCCAGCCTGCCGAGATCTACCAGTCCAAATAGAGAGGCGTAGCCATTACTGACAGCCTACTACCAGGTAAATACACACTTCTACTTGTATAAAACTGACCTTTGTACGCTGAATACTTCATAAAATACTGCAGATCCTTTATCTTACCTCTTTCTAATGTACACACAAGTATTTAACTGAAGTTACCCAACAGTGTTGTTGATACAGAGTTGGAGTTTATTCACACGTCACATACTACAGTGAGAAATGTTTTCAAGAAACAATGAACAGTGCTGCCACATATGATACAGGGAAAAAAGAAAAGACTCTGAACCCTTTCTTTGCCATTATATAAAGATAGTGTTGCTACAAAAGTATAAATGAGGCTTACTAATAAGACAACTCAGATCTGAAGCTACACAGGAATCTGCTGCCAAAGTGCAATAAAAAAGACAACATTAATAGAATCAAACCCTTTTTTTTGTTGCATTTTAGTCGAATATAAAAAGAAATGCCTTTTTAATAGGATGCAAGCAACACTAGTTTCTTAACCTGAATTGATAATAGACTATAATCAATTTAAGTTTGCATTCTTATACCATTTTGTACAATAATTATAATGAATAAGTTCAAACAAACTAAAACTTACAGCTGATTAATCACGGTATCTAACTTGAGTTTTTATTATATCAAAAACCTGTTGAAATGCTACTGTTATTTTTACTGTCCCCCAAAAAGCGCGTCGGCAGCAGAATGCTTCTTTCACAACTTCGCGGTCTTTGAAAGACTACATGTGTTTCGCAAGAACGTGACTGACACGATAAGATGCTATGGTAGCAGCCTTGCTCTTGTTGTTGGGCCTGGTGGAAATGGACTGCTGTGCATTTAGCTATCCTTTCAGGCCCCTCCCCTTTTGGGAGCGTAGGGCAGAATTAGGAGGGAATTCCGTCTCGTAGCGTTTGTGCACTGTTTTGAAATGGCGCTCCTAAATTACCATTCTTCGATAAAGCCACGCTACTATTGCAGATGAGACAGATGGACTTTGAATTGGAATAGATACAAAAATATTCATCCTCCCTGTTAGAGCCATTTTACCTTTTGTTATTATTGTCTGAATGTTGGGCTTAATAATAATATAAATTAGATTATACTGTAAATTATCGGCTATTTTTGTGAGTCACATTATGGTTTAAAATGCATTAAGTTAAGGCTCACTTATTATTTGTTATATGTGCGTCAGTATCACGTGCATGGCTATGCCTATATATGGTAGGTGGATAGGACACAGCTGAGGGTGATAGACGGGGAAATGGAAAAGTCTTTTGACCGTGTTCTTTTTGTTACTTTGGAAAATGATACACTTTTGAGTTACTATGAAGCGAAGAAATGTGTCCTCCTGTATGCACCGTGTGGATCAGTGAATAAAGCTCATCTGATTCAACTACGATCTCCGCTGAATTGTTTGGAAACAAAGAGAGGCGCGTCAAAACCCACAACCCCGATAGAGGTGGCTATTAAATGGTAGACAAGGATTAAAACGCCACCACAATAGTCAAAAGACTCCGTAAACTGTGGATAAAGACTTCGAAGGACAAGCACAGGATTCGTGTGGATTTCAGCTCTGCTTTGGAAACAGCGAACGGACGTTCTAAAGTGCCGAGGAGGAGGCCGTGAGTAAACCACGCCGGCCCGGAACTTATGAATGAGACGCTGTTTACAACGGGATCGCTTCGTCAAACAATGCAAGTACTGATGTGTGCATAGTTACGGATGTTTGACAAAACGAAACTGGAAATCCATCCAGTGATATCCTGATGCTTACTGAAGATAATCCGCAATTGCTGTTGGAATGCTTAAACAATGAAATGCATTAACGAACTAACACGCAGCCAGGAAGCGGACGTTAAAGGAATATTTGGCACAAAAACAGGACTCGCGAAGAGCTGTTCTTGGAAATATTAATGACTTTATTTCATGTGGATTAAGTGAAGAAAAACTCAAATAAACAATGGATCCTGAAAAACCTCCAGCTGATGTTGCCGCGGCAGAGGAGAGATTTAAAACTCTCAGCCAATCGCGAAGAGGAAAGCTTGGAGCATGCACCCGCAGAATGAATGAAATTAACCCATTACTGGTGCGAGGTGGAGATGTGGAAAAGGTGGATGAAGCTGTTGCAACGTTCAAGATGTTACTCAATGAATTTATGGAATGTCATGGAATTGTTCAAATGCTTTTATCTGAGGAAATAAGGGAAACTGAGAGAATAGATTGGTATGAACCAAAAATGTCTGCATTCACGAATTTCCTTAAGGATGTGGAAACGTGGAAAAGCTCTCAAATGGATCCTCAGATACTGATTGAACCCCATGACAGTGTTTCCAATGCATCAACCAGGAGGAGCTCAAAAGCAGGATCAGCAACTTCTTCTGCTTCTTCAATCCACCTCAAAATGGCCACAGAAAGAGCTGCCCTCCTTGCCCGGGCAGCAGGATTAAAGGAAAAGCATGCACTTGAAATGGAAAAGGCTCAACTGCAAGCTAGATCCGAACGGATAGAAATGGAAGTCAGCCTAGCTGAATCTGATGCAAAAATGAAAGTCCTGGAGCACTTTGAGACTGGTTCACAAAATCCAACACAAGGAAAATATGATGGCATGAATGACTATTTAAAGGACTACAGATTAAAAACACATATGTCAATGGATGCAGAGCCGTCTCCAATTTCCTTTGCTGAGTTCGGATCCATTCCCAAGACACCACTTCAAAGGCTTATACACCAACAACCAAGACCACCAGAAAATATTGATAATGCAAATCAAAGCTCTCAACAAACAGCTAGAGATGCAGGAATTACAGGGACAAATACTAATGACAATTTCCTGACTGTGATGCAAAGACAAAATGACATTGTTAATTTACTTGTACTTCAACAAAAACAAGCATCACTGCCCACTAGGGAAATCCCAGTCTTTGATGGCAATCCCCTGAATTATCAAATATTTGTGAGGGCATTTCAACATAGCATTGAGGAGAAAACCACCAGTAACCAGGATCGATTATATTACCTGGAACAATATACTTCGGGATCCTGCAGGGAACTGGTGAGAAGCTGCCTTCACATGGATGCTAATAGTGGCTTTGCTGAAGCTAAGAGACTGCTAAAAGTGCATTTTGGAGATGAGCTCAAGATAGCAAGC